GTTCCCCGTTTTCGGAGCGACAGGAGTCTAGTCCAAAAGGACCACCCAGATGCGCCTCATTCGGAGCCAGTCGACCTACTCGAGCATTCATATCACCTGCTAAAATCACGATATCAGCCCGGGTCGCTTTACCAGCTACGATCAAGCTGAAAGCTCTCGACTACTTCTAGCTAATCACCACAGATGGTGAGTGCAGGCACAGGCTCCTGCCAGTCTTGAACCAGCACTTTGCACTTGGAAGGTGCAAAGCACATACCATATCTGGATACCTCTATCGTCAAGCGATTCAAAGCCTTTTGCACTGCCTGTGTGTTGTCACCAAGCAAGGCGATGTTATCGGCATATTCTAAATCGAGGACTCTGTTCCCTGGGAGGAGTTCGACTCCACCGTTTGCTAGACAGGACAAAGCATTCAGTAAAACATCCTCTGTAAAACATTTGAAAAGAAATGGGGATATGGGGCAGCCTTGTCGAACTCCACTGGAGACGGCGAAGGGTGGCGAAAGTTTGCCATGGGCTCTAACCCGATCTGAGGTATGACGATGCAACTCTTTGAAGATCGACACATACGTCTCAGGTACTCCATTCCTCAACAAACGGTTCCATAATGCGATTCTATGGACGGAGTCGAAGGCCACTAGGATGTCTAAGAATACAATGATCGTCGATATTTGATAAGCATGACATGGCTCTAGCAGCTGTCGGAGGGTGNGTCTGAAGTTCGTACTGGAGAAGAACAGGCGGTGGTCGGATCAGAGAGCCAACAGCCGTTCTCCGTTTTCCGAGCGACAGGAATCTAGTCCAAAAAGACCTCCCAGGTGCGCTTCACTCGAAGTCAACCGGCCTACTGTAGCATTCATATCTCCTGCNCTGATGTGATCTCTTCTACAACCCCACCTCCAGCTCGACCATTTCCAGCTGACCACCACAGATGGTGAGTGCAGGCACAGGCTCCTGCCAGTCTTGAACCAGCACTTTGCACTTTGAAGGTGCAGAGCACATACCATACCTGGATACCTCTATCGCCAAGTGTTGTAAAGCTTGTTGGACTGCCTGTGCATTGTCACCTAACAAGGCGATGTCATCGGCATACTCCAAATCAAGAACTCTATTCCCTGGGAGGAGTTCGACTTTACCGTTTGCTAGACCGAACAAAGCATTCTGTAGAGCATCCTCTATGACAAAGTTGAAAAGAAAAGGGGATATAGGGCAGCCTTGTCGAACTCCACTGGAGACGGCGAAGGGTGGTGAAAGCTGGCCGAAAGCCCTAACCCGACCTGAGGTATGTCGACACAACTCTTTGAAGATCGACACATACTTCTTTGGTGTAACTGTATGCAGCCAGCGTTTTACACCTTTAGAGTGTTCTCAGTCTTCAGGATTGAGGGCAGAGGGCAGGGTGTAAGCCCCATCACCACTGGGTCGAAGGCCCGATCGTCGTTCGGTCGTTCCTCCATAGCCCCTTTAGGTGCTCATCCAGACGCCGTTTGAAAGCAGCGTCTGTCTTCTCTTCCACCACAATCGCTGGAGGGGAATCCCAGAGTGTTGTTGACCTACGCGAGAGTCGGAAGACCAACTGACTGAAGTTTCCGCAACGTGAGAGAGTGCCCCGGCGTGCGGGGCTCTGTCCGTAAAGGGAAGTACTATTGCAGCTCCGGGCCCATATCACCTCGGGATCTTCTTCAGGCAGCTGAGATCTCCTCTGAGGCGTCGATACGCAATTGGGGATAGACCAATAGCCTGTAGACGACCTTCATAGCTGGTTCCACGTAGTCCAACAACGAGTCTAATGGCAGAACGTTGTACACGCTCCAACTTATCCAGTTCACCGGCCGTGCAGGGATATATCGCCGCACCACCATACTCAAGTCTTGGTCTGATATGGGAAGCGTACAACAGCCTGAAAGCGTCCATCGTGAGCTGGTTGAAATATCGCCGAATAGGCCCCAGAATGCTCCATGCGCTAGCACAGACCCGATCGGTGTTTTCTCGGGTCTTTAGTGATGACGTAACCTTAACACTCAGGTCTCGTTCGCATGATGTTCTGCGCAAGGTGGTTCCCTGTAAGTTGTAGACTACCTCTGAGTCAGCACGCCCCAAGTGCAGGTGAGCACATTTCGCTGTGTTGACTGGAAGAGCCCAGGTATCCGCCCACTGAGCCAGGTTGTTGAAATCCGCTTGAAGAGAACTTCGATCATTCGGATCCTTGATTGTACACCAGATTTTCATGTCATCCGCATACATGAGGGATGGGCTGCACAGTTGACCGGGCAGGTCGTTCGCATATACCACAAAGAGCGATGGACCAAGAACCGAGCCTTGGGGGACCCCACTGGGAACGGAATACCACGCAGAGAGCGATTTACCAACACGGACGCAGAATTTTCGGTCGATGTGGAAGTCTCGCAGCCAATTCTGCATGACCACACCTACACCTAGGTTGGACAGCTTTCGCAGGAGGAGGTCGTGCGGCACCTTGTCGAAGGCCTTGCTGAAGTCCACGAAGGTGATGTCCGTTTCGTGTCCTTTGGCCTTGTCCTCGGTCCAGCATTCACGCGCAAGTAGCAGGTTTGAGAGGCATGAGCTACCCGGCCGGAAACCTTGTTGTTGGTGGCACAAGTGACCGTGGCACACCAAGTGCTGCCCAAGCTGTGCAGCCACCATACGCTCCATTACTTTACCCACAACGCTGGTAAGGCTGACTGGTCGGTAGTTCCCAGGGTTATTCCTATCCCCAACTTTGGGCAGTGAAACCATAACAGCGTCCTTCCACTNGCGGATGCACACCATCAGGTCCAGGTGACTGGTGAACCTTTAGTCGACGCAGCTCCAGGGCCACCTCTCCGATTGTAGACTGGGTCCAGTTCAGCGCAATGTCAGTGTCCATTAGATGTGCCAGTGTGCTGGAGTCTGGGGTGTACACTGAGGCATAATGTGATGCCAGCATCTCCGCTTTGTCTTCATCTTTTTCGGTGAGTGCCCCATCTTTGGCGAGAGTCGGGAGGCCAGGCGTTGCTCTGATTCTTCGCCTGAGATAGACATACAATCGCTTTGATGCTTGTACTGAATCTGCTGCTAGTCGTTCCTCGAATCTGGTTCTCTTGCATTTTTTAGTGCAGTACAGTGATTCCGAATACATGGATATTCTTCATATCCTGCGCCTGTTGCACGGTACCTGGACCAGGCTTTATTCCACTGCGGAAGACACACCCGCAGTTCTCGGTCAGACCATGGCGGGCCCATAGCGTGTGTTCGGTGGCGGTGAGGTGGAGAGAATTCCAGTACGAGTTGCTGGATTCTATGACGAACCAACTCCCAGGATACATCCACATCCTCAGGGTTCCGGGAATCCCAATTTGTGGGCGATGCAACCTGACGCATATCCGGAAAGGATGGGCAACACATTCCGTCTGTCCTGTGGTCTGTCCGTTTGGGGTACGCCATGCCTCCAATGTATACGCAGAATGGAGTGATCACTAGATGCAATTGGTGGAAGGAGGTCAATCTTAGTCGTATCTGATTGCCTCGGCGAGAATACCGTTGCAATTTTTCTACATAGTCCTCCCTAACTGATCAACTAAGTGGGTAGGTAAAAAGCAGCACCAAAAATTGTCATACGACAATGCAAGGTCAATAGTTTTGCATAAAAGCTAATGGTAGGTTGAATGATGCATTTATCTTATGCGATTTTCTCACAAGTTTTATGAATGAACATGCGGTCGAAGTTGAACGATATTGCATTCCCGACTGTCATAACACAATTGAACAACTTCACGGGGGACGTTTGTCCCAAGTAATCTTTAAACTTACCTAGCACCCTAGTCATGTTTACTCATCACCCTTTGGTCTTTTGTCAAGTGGACAAAGGGTTTCATCATCCGTGCATTTGTGTAGGGCTACTAAGCAAGTATATTGTTGAACATAGCACTGTAGCTGCTCGTAAACGGACCTTGAAGTACACCTGCATATCTGAGCTGTTCTAGTCAAACAATCAGATTTCTGTAATAATATCTTAAGTATGCAATCATCTGATGCCATTTCAATAATGCACCTGTTTGCAAACATTCCTTGAGAGTACAGGCGAAGCTCTATCGATGTACTATGCAATACTGCACACTTCCTGTCAGAGCACTGAGTGAGGTTCACCGTTGCTAGCACCAGGGGAAACATCTTCGATCCATGTGAGCACCGGATTATTTCATTTTGTTGTGCCCCATGCAATGTCATTTGCGAAGGGAAAAATAATCAATAAATCGCACCTCCATTTGCTCATTTCTGTCATAGTTTTCATTACCACATTTTCTCTCCCAATAGACCGCTGTTGGTGTTTTCGGAATGTATCATTTTGTTCCTTTTTTTGCTTCCAGGGTCCATGGATTTTTGCATTACTGGTTGCATTGGAGAAACCAATTCATCCGGACACATATCACACATTACGAACAATTGCAAAGCGATGCCGAAAGCTGAAAAAGGTTGGTTCCTCGTTGTTCACACAAGGATAATCAACAAATCTTGCTGTTGCTTTGCTCAGGAACTGGGCGAATCATTGTCAAAAGCGGAAATTCAGTTGTTCGACTTATGTCCGTATCTGGTAGCCAAAGTGTTCGGTCAGTTGGATCTGCTACTACCACCCCCGGATGATTGAACCGGTGAAATCATCATCCCATCGAATCCTTCTGTATTGTGCAGTTAGATGTGTCCCCGAACCCTACCGGTGACGTATCCCTTGTATTATATTTGTCACCCCTGCCGATTGGGCTTGGGTTTCATAAGATCAAAGGATAAATTATGCTTGTAAAAAATCGATCTCTGGCTTTTGAATAATTTAATTTTACTCTTGAGAATTTCTAGTTTTGAGTGATTCACATGATTTACCGAATAGTCATTGTTGCTTAATCTGTAGACCGATATACTGGTTCCTCAAATGCACGATAGTCTCCCAGCGATGAAACGTTTTGAGCAATTGCCGCGTTGAGAAATTAATTTGTGGTGTCAAATTTGTTGTAAAGGCATTTAGAATAACATTGAGCAAAACTTATCCCCGCTCGTCTTTCGTACTGCAGCCATCCGCGATAGACTAAACACAGGTTTATTTTTAAGTGGTTGGGTAGAATGCATCGCAAATGCATTTATTGGTTGCTCTATACTCCGCACTGTACGCATTCTCATTAGTTGTGGTAACTGAACTTAAACGCCGTCTCAACCCCAACAAGTTTGCACTTTTTGCATTTTGAAGGACTGAACAGCAAATTAACGAGATTTGTTAGCTAAGTAAATTTGAGCTTAAATCAAGTCAAGAAATAAGGAGGCGTGAACTGAGAAGTTGCAAAGCAATGTCTAGGCAGCGCCAGTCCATCGCTTCAACTGGGAATCGAACCCGGACAGTCAAGATCGGATCAGTGGGCCCCGTAATCGGTTTGGTGGTGTGTTTGCTTTCTACTTATGAGAGCCTGGAATCGATCCTCAGTAGGGTCTACTGATTCGCTTTGCCGATGAAACCTAAGTCGCTGAGTCTCCACATCCTAGCCACTGCGGGAGCGATCGGCATTCGCATATTCAAACTCAATCAATGTTCACAAAAGAGATTGGCTTATGCCATTCAATTGCCGTGGCCGAAGATCGATCTCACGGATGACGCATCACAGTTTGATTGCAGTGTTGTAGTGCTCTAGGGACGTGAAACACGTCGTACCCCTCACTTCTCTCTCTTTCACTCAATCACCGTGACTTTTAAATGACCGAATGACTATCCTTGTTCAATATGCCATTTCCTTATTTGATCTGTAGAGGCTAGAAGATAAATCAATGAAAACAATTGTTCACCTCTCAAACCTAAGAATGTCAAAACGGCTGTACGGCACCTTTTCTGTGTACACGATAATATAATCAAGTCAAGAAATGGTTTCATCACACCTGAAGATACATCCCAGCTTCGACTTGTTCTTCAAGTAAAATGCGAAAGCTAGTTAAATCAAGAAACAATACTTAACATTGTGGGTAAACCAAGAAAGATACGGTCATGGTGGCTTGAAAAAACGGGCACATTAAGAAGCGACGGACATGAGTCGCTTTGTACGTGCATAAAGTACTTACAACTAGTGGATGGGGTAAAATGCATCTGGAATTAAGAGGTTGACGAAAGAAACAGTTTTCTTTGAGCAAGCTTATCACAGACTTCGGTGTTCCGAGAGATAATCTGTTGAATGATATGAGTTCTGGGTAAACCAAAACACACGAACGAATGTTTAAGTGATTTTGATATTGCACGGGATCTTTTTGGAAGAAACCATGCGAGCTCTCCAAGGAGGCATGTATGTGCTGTTTGATGCTGGTTGTGGATAAGGCTTCAGACAATAGGCACAAGGAGAAATCTAGGACTAAAAAAAATTAAATGACCAGGTCAAAGGAAAGGACAATTGAGAATGACGTCTAAAGTGTTAATCCGACATTCTCCGACTGGGGTTCTCAAGTGTGGTTTATCCCAGCTGAGAAAACAAAATCTCAACACTTTCAGCGAGGTTTATAGTGAAGATGAATGGGGCAGATCTCTCGGTAAGTTGTGAGATGTCCAATTATATACCAGGGAAGTAGTCAGATTCCTCCGCACAGAATGAGCCTAATCGATCGGCAAACAATCATCTTAAACAGACCTAGAGGATTAGTGGATGGATCGAAAAACAAAAGACGGGACAAAACCACATCCTAAACAACCCTTAATTTGGACTTGGTCACGGTAGCGCGTGATNTGATAGGAGCGGCAGTCTTTGTAAACGATAATATTAAAGGGGGTGGGGGCGTTAGACTGGAAAAAACTTGTTCATCAGTTCTGCTGAATGCATCGCTGCAGTCAAAGTAAAACTGGCGGAGTACTGCTGACTCTATTGGCGTGATGAGTCATTGAACCTGTTATTGACAGTATTGCTTAGTTTGGTTTAGAACGCGATATTTGCTCTGCCTCTGTGACCCGCTCATATTTGGATGCTCAGGTAGCACATCGATTGATCAGATCGCTGTCCGTTGAACGAGTTATTTTAATCATCAGACCCCACGATCCAGGTTCTATTATTATCATAATACTGGTGGGTATTCGACTTGATATCACTTCGTCATAGAGATGTATCAAACCAACTCTTTACTCTATTCATGACATGACACGTTCTGCTCTGATCGGTCCGATAGCGATATTTTTTGACACATTTATGGCACCAGGGGTTGGTGCTTGTTTTATCTGGTACCATAGTAATCAACTGTCATGTTTAGGATTGCACAGTTCCTGCGGTGGAGAGTTAAGTCTACGGATTGTAGTGCTTAGATCACATCAACTGAACACCTAATAGCCAAAAGAAGGTACTCATTGGTTGTACAAAAACAAGACGAACCCGTCTTTTATAAAAATCGATGAAGTAGAATCTTTTCATATGTGCTTCTGTTATGTGGCCCAGGAGAACATTTGTTTCATACATCCAGTTCCCTTGACAAATTTCATCACGGCGAGGAAGAACAACATTTCAG